CCGCCGCCCCCGTTTCGTCTTTCCGCCGCGCCCAGTCCGCGCGCCACGTCGCGTAGAACGACGCCGCGACCCAGGCCGCGAGGACGCAGGACGGCACGCACAGGTAGGCGTCCGTCGTCCGCGCGTACTCGTCGAGGACGACGCCGACGTGGCCCGCCTGGATGACCAGGCCGGCGAAGAGCACGACCGGGGTGGAAGCGAGAGTACAAACAACAAGGCTCACGGCCGTCGTCGCCGCCGTCTCCGGGTCGTGGCCCAGGTACTCGTGGGCGTAGACGAGCACGGACGGCGCCGTCGGGATCGCGCCGTAGACGAAGCCGAAGCCCCGCAGGTCGCCGTCGCCGCCCGTGAGGCCCACGGCCAGGTAGATGGCGATGGGTAAGACGACGCACTTGATGCCCGACAGCACGCCCGGCAGGAGGAGCGCCGACGGGTGGAGCTTCGTGACCTTGCCCACGAGGCTCAGGCCCGTGAAGAACAAGGCGCATGGCGTGAACGCGGCCCCGAGCGCGCCGAGCGCCATCGCGAAGGGCGACGGCAGCGCCGACGGGCCGAAGACGACGTTGAAGAGCGCGCCGGCGACCGTGCAGGCGACGAGGGGCGTGCGCACGACGCGCAGGAGCACGCGGCCCGGGTCGCGCTCGGGCCCGCGCGGCGCCGACGCCGCGGACGGCCGCGGCGAGTCCTCGATCGTCGGCGCGACGTCGTCGTCGTCGTCCGGGGGCGCGTCGGGCCCGGGCGACGCGGCGCCCATGAGCAAAAAGCCCACGGGGTTGAGCAGGAGCAGGGACACGGGCGAGAGCAGGTAGAGCATGCTCACCATCTCCGGCCGCGTGTCCTTGTACAACGCCGTCATCACCGGCAGGCCCAGCGCGAAGTCGTTGGACTGCGTGCAGAAGATGGCGCGCAACGCGGACACGGCGACGACCTTGCGCTGCTGCGTCGCGTCGCCGCCGCGCCGCGACTCGAGGAGCGCCGTGCAGAGGAGCACTCCGAAGAAGACGGCGGCCTTGCCCGTCGCGATCGCGACGAGGAGGTGGACGTCGATGGACGCGAAGCTCAGCGTCGCGAGCTCCTTGAAGAGCAGCGCCGGCAGGGAGAACCGGCCGATGAAGGTGCCCAACGCCCGCGGGCCCTCGCCCTCGACGCGGATGACCTTGACGCGCCCCGCAAAATAACCCGACGCGATGACGAGCGCGCAGGAGAAGAGCGCCGCGGCGAAGGACGGCATCGTGAGTGCTTTCTTGGGAGATGTGCTTTCTCCTCTATCGAGGACGGCGCGTCATGCGCGCAACATCAATCTCTCGCACGCAACACCTCGACGAATCACACGAGCACGAGCGGCACGTTCGCCGTCAAGGTCGTCCTTGCCTCTGCGCCGGTTGCTCTCGTGGACGCCTCCATCATGAGCTACACGTCGGACGTGGACGTGGAGCTCGGGAGCCCCGCGGAGATCGCCGTGCTCTCGGCCCTGAACGCGCGCCTCGACGCCATCGACGTCGCCGGCTGCGACGCCATCTTCGACCTGCTCGATAAACACAACCGCAACGTCCTGAGCCTCGAGGAGCTGCGCGAGGGCGTGCGGAGCGACGCCGTCGAGGACTACATCCGCGAGACGGGCAACGTCGTCATGAAGGGGCTGCTCAAGGACTGGGAGCGGTCCGAGGCGCGCGTCGGCAGGCCGCTCGCGGCGCTCGA